AAAATCGCTAGCATATGTATATCGATTATTATCCTCGCTATCGAAATTATTACTCTGAATTTCTTTCAAGCTTGCACGAAGTATGAAGTTTCGGTGGACGCGCCAGGACCAGGGAAGGCTCTCGCCTGGCTTCATCTGGTCGTAGCAAGCAAGCTCCGAGAGGACGGACCGGTTCCAAAGGATGCTCTTCCACCTTTCCGTCCTTCGAGCAACGGTCGTCGTAAGTTGCTTCTTCGTGGTCGGTCTGTGTCTTCCCCCGTGTCCCTCCTCAACCCCTTGCCTCACGTTTCATTCGCGTAGCTCGCCACTTCTTCAGTGTCTTCTTCGTCTTCGTCGAGCTTCGTTCTCCCGCCACGTTTGCCTATCACAGCCTCTCCGTCCCTTGGACTCTGGAGTTTCCTGTACGCGGCCATGCACGCGCGAAGGCACGCGGTACAACCATCCCGCCCGTCCTTCACCCTCGTGCCTCTCACTCTCTCTCTTTCTTTCTCTTTCTCTGTCTCTGTCTCTCTCTCTCTCTCTAAGATCCTCCTCTTGATAATTTATTTTTGATAAACGATGCGCCCCGTCATACTGCCACGCGGCATGGGAAACTCACCTCGCCACTTCGCGCATTATATCCCCAAAGAAAATCGCGTCTCTTCGGTTCCCGAAGTCTCTTCTCTTCTCCCGAGCGAAAGAATGTATTCGCAAGGTCTCGACCTTGCGAGCTGTAACATGGCGTGTAGCGAGTCGCAGCCACGTACACCGATTATCGTATCAAGACAGATATCGGCTCTTCACCCATAGGACGTTTCAGTCGAGATCGATGTTTAACCGTAGCTATCTAGTTATTGCAATATAATTGCGCGCACACACGCAACACACGCACGTATACACATTTTCGAATATAATATTCTCAAAGTTCTCATTTTGTTTTCAATGGCTGTTTCTTGAATAAATTTGTAATCATGCTTTTATCATTTTTTAAAGAAAATCCAAAAAAAAAAGAATAATCACGTACTGACAATTTTATCTTCAATTTGCGCTGAAAATTTCACTTCGATTTATATTTTATCTCGATGAAATATAAGTAATGTATACTATCGATTAAAGTTTAATAAGAAAACGATTTAATATTTAAATATATATTTATTTATGGATTTCAATTATTTTGGAATAAATTAACATTATAGTATATTTTTTGAAATACTGGTTTAGTTTACTTAGTTTCTTTACAATTACAATTAATATCGCTAAAATCTTATTTTTTATTTTATTGTCTTTCTTGTATTGTATTCTTTTTGTATTTATTATATCTCGTTTTTGTCATGTTTAGCAGAGCGAATATTCACGAAATGAAATGCACAAAATCGTACAAGTTTAATATAGAAGCACAAGTCATAAAAAAACTGACAAAAATTTATAATTTATTCATGCTGAATAAATATAAAATTGAATTAATTAATGCAAGAAAAGCTTAGTTAAAAAACATGACTTTCGAAAAAATGTTATTTAAATTTTCAATACTTTCAAATTGCAAACTATTTTAAAACATTTTCCTAGAAATGATAGCTAGAATATAATTGTATATGCAAGTCAATTTCGAATTTTGATTTTTTCATCGACAAGTGGCGCATATCGGTTCGCTATCTCTTATCGTTGGCAGCGCTCAAACATAATAAATCGGTGCGCTGCTAGAACGAGGCATTGATTGAAATTTAATATGACGAAAAAGGCACTCGAGAAGGCATTTTAATATCACAGACCTGTCGAAAGCAGCATGGTCCTACTCTCGGTGTGGCCACACGATTAATAATTTATCACCTTCTGTCAACTTTTGATCGAGGTTTGATGAAAATACGCTGCCAAATTAATATACATCTACATGCGTTTAATTTGATTGCAAAAGCAAAAAAAAAATTTCTAGAAATATTCTATCATTATTACATCCTCTATTATTTAGTGAAACATAAACTGCATATAAAAAAATGATTTTAAATAGACGAATCGCGTCGATTTGTTTGTTATTCTTGATATTTATTTAACTTTTTCAATTCGCAAATATTGTCACAATTTAATCTATATTTTTATATTCAATTTTCTATATAAAAATATATCAATGCTATAATAGGCAAATATGCAAGACTATGATTGTTTTATTATTATAAAGTATCTTATTGACAAAAGAGCGTTTATTTATGTTTAATAATGCTTAGAGCTATGGTCGTGCGGAGTTTACTCAATGAAATTGTTTGCATTATCGATATAATACTATATTTAATATACTATTTTTTTCGGTAATCTATTATCACACTTTTACTTGGCAGATGACATTTTTAATAAATTAATTTTTTGGTAATTTTAGCAATATTTACTTTAATAATATTTAGAATTATGTTTCGCGAAGCTAATTCAAGAGAAGTTTCTCACATTTCCGATGCGATGTAATGTTATGATATATACACTGAACATATTTATTATATATATGCAAATATTAATATTATTATAAAATACTTATTATAAATATTTAAAATATGATAGAATTTATATATATATATATATATATATATATATATATAATATGATAATCTAAAATGTATTATCGTGCAGATTAATGACTGATTAATTTTACAAGTAACAAATAATATAAATAAGCTACAGATTTTGCTTACCTTACAATTATTGCTGTTGTCCGCCATCTTTTCGGAATTCTCGGGCCTCCTCCTTTTCCTTTGTTCACTTTTTACTGCTTCTTCATGGCACTTACACATAATTCACGAAAATACAATTAATTATGATCGTGCACGCATATAATATGATATCATATAATATGATATCACAGCACTGTACTTTGGATGTTAATCGCACATAACGCGTGGAAAACGAAGCAAAAATTATCCGCTTAATGCTCGAAAATCGCGTGGAACAAAATTCATATTCCACTCACTACGATAAATTCTTGCTAATGAATAATATACAATGAATTGAATTTGATCTGTCTCGCTATCATTTGTTAGTGAAAAGAATGATAAATGTAATTTCACACTGATATTGCGAGAGTTAATAATTTGTTAAGATGTGATATACCGTCCGAAAATATATAATTATAATTTAGTATTGCATGTATTCGAGATACATATAAATCTCACATGATAAATGTTTATCATTAATATATGTATCACAGTTTTCTCCGATTTAACGATTACTTTGTGAGTAATTATTCCTAGTCTTTTCGATCCAAAAATGAACAAATTAATTATTTAAATCGAGAAATTCAAAGCGCAATGCAAGGTATATTTGAATTCAAGCATCAAGAAATATAATTATCGTTTTAAATATCGAAATAAAAAATAATATTTTATATAATTGCCATCGCGATTCGAGATTCTTACTTCAAATAAACAGATATAATGCACTAAATATCTGCTTCGACACATTTTATACGAATCGTTGATCGCGTGGATTAATAAACTCTAATTGTATTTAATTACAAGGAACGATCGCGCTTGCCATCTACTAGTACTTGTCGCGATCGAGTTTCGATTAATAATGTGTACGTCGACACGTTGTAATGTTTCGCGCCGTTAACCTTCTGCTCGAGTCTCGCCGATAACCTTGACAACAACGTTGCCGTTTACCGCGTGTAAACAATAGCACGCAATATATCGAAAAAGTACGAACGCCGAGCACCGGCATTTTCTTTCCACAAAATATTTAACGTTAAGTTTATACACATACAGAATAACTGTATTCTGTTTTCATTTTTTTTAATCCCTCGCTCATTATTTACTGAATGATTATTACATTATTACTTTCTTGAATTATTCGAACCTTATTCCATTCTCTCATCGTCAGTTCGGAAATAATAGGCAAGCATTTATATCTATACAAAATTTAAAACGTAAGAGAAATATTTCTAAAAATCAAAGTACAATTAATAAAATTAATATCGTAATAAATGAGTAATTTATAATCATTTCAAATCTCCTTTATCAAATGAATATATAAATCACGCGAAATATCTGTTAACATTCATCTCGATATATTTACGATCGCGGAGTTAATTAATCGCGCGGATAAATAATCGTTAACAATCGAAGAAAAAAAATTCCTTTTATGTGTATGTATATATATGACGTCACACAATAATTTTGACGACAATTGTATATCTGAAATGTACAATTCAAAAAACATCGCAAAAACACGCGCCGAAATTTACGTCGTGTGACGTAGGTATATGTTTATACGCAGGTATCTTCAGTCACTTCGTTGTCATTTACGGTCGCGGTTCGAGCGGGAATGTTAGCGTTACAAGAAGCTGAGACTCGTATCAGCGTATTATTCGATTGTGTCACAGTATTAAAAAATGTTCACTCGATCGGTCTCTCTAATTGTTACAATTCACATTTATCGATTCGCTCGATTAATGACTGGTAAGTCTAATTCTAACCTAAGTTAACCGTCTTCTAGATGCTTCTCACTTGAAAGACACATATCTCGCGTATCGAACTTTAAAATTATTCATTATTCAATGAAAAAGTGATATGTATATAGATCGTGTTACGTATCGTAATCTCTCGCTCATTATTTACAAATGATTATTACATAAGGGCTTTCTTGAATCATTCGAGTCTTATTCCATTCTCTCGTCGTCGGAAATAATGGACGAGTCACATTTATATCTACGAAAAATTTAAAATGTAAGAAAAATATTTCCAAAAATCAAAGTACAATTAATCAAATAAATATCGTAATAAATGAATAATTTATATAATCACTTCAATTTTCCTTTATTAAATAAATTAAATAAATCACGCGAAATATCTTAACCTTCATCTCGATATATTTACAATCGCGAAGTTAATTAATCGCGCGGATTAATTGTTAACAACAATCGTTATAAAGAAAAATCATTTTTATGTGTTTGTATATATATGACGTCACACAATAGTTTTGACGGCAATTGTATTTTGAAATATACGATTCAATAAATGTCACAAAAACGCGCGCCGAAATTTGCGTCGTGTGACCGTGTGACGTATGTTATACGCAGTCAACTTTAGTCACCTTGAGTTATCGGTCGCGAGTCGCAGATCGTCCGGGAATGTTGGCGTTACAAGAAGCTGAGAGCTCGTATCAACGTATTACTCGATCGTGTCGCAGTATTAAAAATGCCCCTCGTTCCCCGTAATTGTTACAATTAACATTTATCGATCCGCGCGATTAATGACTGGTAAGCCTAGAAAAAAAATCCTAACCTAAATTAATCGTCTTCTAAATACTTCTCACTCGAAACAGATATATCTCGCGCATCACGCTTTAAAATTATTATTCAGATATAATTTGCTCGTCATTTTCGGATTGAAAACATGGAATCAAATGAATCGAATGACAATGATTCAAGTTCATTATTGAATGAAAAAGCGTGATGTACATAGATCGTGTTACATATCGTAATATTTATCTCACGCGCACAATATTGAATTTTGAATTATCTATATATCGTTAGATGGCACTTTAGCCATTGACTCATTTTTGTAGAAACATGTAGTATCAAGGTGAAATTATCGAGATATATCTTTCTTAAACTTTCTTTGATTAAAAAAGCATCGCAGATGTGGGACAGATCGAATTATTTGTGTGCTATTTGTTAACATCTCGGAGGGCGATGACAGACTTGGCCGTTCACTTATCGAGGGCCAAGAAGATCATAGCTTTCGCATTGTTTTTTTGTTGTATTATAATAAAGTGCGCGTTATATATGTGATTGATAAGATCGGGAGTGTCGTACAAAGTGTCGCGCGATTGTCGTATTCTATTGATTAGTGCGCGTGCGATGCAATTAACAGTATTTTCGTGAGTGTCCTGTGAGTGCCATGACGAAGCAGCGAGAGATGAACAAGAGAGAGGAAGAAGAGGAGCAGGAGAAGGAGATCGAGGAGATATCGAATTACGATGAAGCAGCCGTGAGAGGTGAGTCATAATTTACAACTTATTTATTATTTGTCACTTGTAAAATTAATTAGTAGTGATCCATTATAAATTGTATAATGCAAAGAAATTCTATGTATAATGCAAAGGAAATCTCTCATATATACATTATAAATTGTATAATGCAAAGAAATTTTAGGTATTAAATCATTTAATATATCTAAAACTTTTTATGTAATAAATATTTATAATAATTAATATTTTTCATATAACTCATATATAAAATTCATATATAAAATATTTCAATATTGTAAAAGTTTAAGATTTATTTGTAAGAATTAGATTTTATTTCAAATTTTTTGAATAGGATTTTTTTTTCGAGAATTATATAATTTTTTCATTAAGCATTTATCTTAAAAGGAACAAATAAAAAATTTAATTGACAATAATTATATTTGAAATGTTAAATATTTTGAACATTATAATTTATTAGAATTTATTTGCATTTTACAAAAACCAACATTGTGATTGACAGTCCTGCCATTATGAATCTCGTACCTCGGTAATTATTTTTTTATTTTATAATCTTGAGATTAAAGAGAGAGAGAGAGAGAGAGAGATAGTGGCATTTTCATTAAAATAATTTTTTTCAAAGAAAAACGATTATAAAAGTATTCAGATATATATCTCGTCATACGTGCATTCGTATATACGGTTAGAAAGTTTAAGTTTAATTCGAATCAATCTTTTGAGTCTTTTACGTTGAATCACTTTATACGTTGAATCATTTTGTACGTTGAATCTTTCTGTATGTGCAATCATTTCTGCACGTGTCTGCTTAGTGCTGGCAAATTTAAAATTTTCGCTCTAGAAACGTTTTACACTTGAACAAGGTTACACAGTTACATTTTCAATTACACAACAAATGGTAAGAATATCTTGTATTTCTTAAACTCTGAACTACACATTTTCTAGATACACTCCTGTCGTTTTTGCGTCTGGCTCAATCCTCGAGAGATTGGGGAAAGAAACGTTTTCTCTAAGCAATTTCTGGATTTCTCATTGCTTCATTCTTACCACTGTGAAAATAATTTTTCCTTTAATCATTTTTAATTTTTATATCAATTTCTCTCTCTTTCTCTAAGATATAATTTGAGAAAAGAAAAACGTAAATTATTATATTTATCATGAATCTTGTACAGTAATATTCCCAACAATATTTTACAGTAATGCATATAATAATTAAAATATATTAATATAAATATATTATAACATTATAATATATTATAAATTTATTATAATATATTATATAAATATATTATATAAATATATTATATAATATATTATAATATATTATATAAATATATTATAAATGTCTAATTAATTCTTTTTATAATATGTACGATATTGAATCCAAACATGATTTAATTTATTATTAAATTGTTATTAAATTTTTTACATAGTCTTTTACGAGCGCTTTATAATGTACTATCATGCATTACTGTAAATGGCGCATTAATGTGAAAGAGGAATCCCGTAAGAATGTGTCCTAGGCGGTGAGCGGATAGCGGATAACGCATGATTCACTCTCTATGACTCAAGCTCTAGTCGCTTCGGTCGCTCTATTCGCGCGGGAGAAGGCGCGCCCGGATCACGGCATAACGTTTTCCAATCCGAGTCAGCGACTTCTCCGTAGTTAATGTCGTGGAAGAAAAGAGTCAGGCGCGGCTATATGCTAGATATTACGTCACTAGATAACGTCAATATCGACCTTTCTTTCGATTCCTTGCAATTAGCAGCAGACTTAATCTAATTTTAATACACGTAAATATATATAAATTTATTTTTGTACCTTTTATGGGGCCTATTACCCGCGAACGTGTACACATTCGATCGAGAAAAAGTTGAATAGTCACTAAAAATAGAGATTGTGTCATTGTGTAAAGATTATGAAAAGTTTTAGTACGTACAAATTATATAAATAATTTATATATGTGTAGAAAATGTATTTCACATAAAATTGAATAAATTCTAATCTTTTCACTGATACATATTAATAGATTTATCGAATTTAAAGGTTGACATTTCTAAATCAATTAAACGAGATGAGACTTTTCTCTCATTTACTTTTTACAATAATCGCGAATGCATATCGAATGAATAACAAATGAAATTCATAACACTCACGTTAACGTGATTTACCTACGAAATTCCATCGTTTGCATTCCAAACATCATTACTAATTTATCTCTAGATCAGAAATTATGCAAAATAATAAATCGTCTGTTGTTGAGGAAGACATATTGACAAAAACACAGTTATGAATATAAATCTGTTCCATATTATCAATGATGATATATATGAGCGTCTTTAAAACGATTATATTATATATTATTTCCTCTTTTTGTTTTATTTATTGGATAAATTTAATATTAGAATTTTCTGTAAAAAAATAGAAGCAGAAGATCAAAATAAAAATATCATTGTCATAAAGAATACAAATTGATGTGATCAAAATCAGAGAGAGAGAGAAAGAGAGACAGAGAAAGAGAAATTAAAAAAGGAGAATTCAAAAACTTAGATGTTAATCATATTCTCATGATTTCAAAAATATGGAATCCAATTCCACGAGGTAAATTTTCGCCTATTTCTTTTAATCCATATGTTCCTCAACTTTTAAAATATTATAAATTAAAGAAAAAGATTAAAATTATGATGTAAAAAGAAATCAATCATAGAAACAGTAGAACATCAATCAGTAGAAAAAAGAGATTGGCGTTAACAAAAACGAAGAGTAGAAGAGAAAAGGAAAAAGATACGATACAATTCTAGAGAAAAGAGAAACGAGAGAAACGAACTGATATAAGGAGACGTTTGAAAATGTTAGATTGTTAGGTTTGGCGATATCGTCGTAGCCGTCGTCATCGACGTCGTCGTCGTCGTCGAACATCCTCGACGACGGTGCCACCGACGACCTCGTGCAAGCGTCCCTTGCTAAAGTAGGTTAGGTCGATGAGGCCACGACGATGCTGCCATGGTTTCTGCGCAGCGCTCTCGATTCTACACCCCCTCTTCTTTCCTCCTCTCACCATCGTCTCTCTTTCTCTTTATTCCACTATCTTTCTTTCTCCTTCATCTCTCTTTCTCTTTCTCTCTACTCCTTTATCTCGCTCATTCTCCCCCCTCCCTGTTGCATGTTTATAACTCTCCATCTTCTTTCTTCTTCATCGCTCCTACTTTCTCTCTCTCTCTTTCTCACACACACACACACACACACTCTTTCTCTCTCTCTGTTTTTTTCTCTTTATCTCTCTTACTTTCTGCTTCTCTATTTCTCTGCTTCCTTCTTTCTCCCTCTACTATCTATTTTTCTCTTTTCCCCTTCACCTCTCGTTGTCACTATTACACACATTGTCTGTCTTTTTCTCTCTCTTTTTTGCTTGTCTCCGTCACTCTGACGATTCTGCTACCAAGTTGGCGATTTCGCAAATCGTCATTGCCAGCTACCGCACGATCGATTTCTCACAATGTTTCTGTTTTTCAAAATCTCAAAAATTTCAAAGTTCGATTCAAGTTTAAATTGATTTTTCAATATTGAAAAACTCTACAACATAGAAAATTATTAATACAACTTTATTCGTAAACTCTATAAATCTCTATCTTTTATAAAAATACATAAAGATTTTATATTTATAAAATAAGTGAAAAGTATAGAAAAATATTAAAAAGAATTTTTAAATTATCTTTTTGAGATTTTGAAGATAGGACATTTATAATATTTTGGAGAATAAATTTATATATAAATTTTTATATATAAATTTATTCTCCAAAACATTATAAATTTATTATATAAATTTTTCATTTGTATCAATTCATAGATAATATCTATATCGCATATGAATATATTTAAGAATTTATTTAATACTGCGATTAAGATATTAGCAACTATTTTCAGAATTATATATTTTATATATAATACACACACACACACATTACAGTAATTTATTATATATAAATAACTGTTGCTTGGAATTAGAGATTTACTTGCGGATAGGCTACTTACATTCTTACAATAGCCATTTAATCTCTATCTAAAGCTACAAGGAAAATGCACGCATAATTTCTTTCTCGCGCCCGTTATGCTTCTAGATAGGCGTTCTCATTCTACGCAAAAGTACAATGCATCACATGCAACAAAGTGCAATAACATTTTCGAGTACCAAGTGCAATACCAATCGATTATATTTCGCAATCGATTATATATGTTATTAAAACTAAAATATTTACAATGACACATTTTTTTATATTATATAATATATAATAAAATAAGTAAATTTGCGAATTTTTCGGTTCTTAATATTTAACATTATTTTTTAATTAGTAATTAATTTAAGCTAAAATTGTGATTTAAATATTTAAAAATTTATGCAATAATCAGAATCTGTCGCGTATAAAAAGAAGTTGAAAAAATAACGACTATTTTGGGAAAACCTGTGTATTACAATATTTATATTTCTTTTCAGTGGAAGAATTAAATTAGAGAAATCTATTTAAAAAATAAAATATTATATTATTATTTTACGTCTACTTATATCGTGAAATTTAGCAGACATATTCTATCGAATACACACGTTGGAAAAATCGATTGAATTTATTGAAATTCGCGATATTGGGGGTGTTATTAGGATATTAATGTATGCATTACGGCAAACGAATAAATATACGCGCGCAACGGCTGTGGATTGCCGATGGAATTAGTCCCTTTGTACCCCAGAGAGAGGAATTTTGCGTGTTTCAATTAAACGATCATGAATTTTTGAAAGTGTCTGACATCGTACGACTTCTGATTATATTTATCTTCGTTTGCGTCACCAGTATTCTTGCTTTCCAAAAATATTATTTTTTATTAAATTGATTCCTAAAAATTATTTGATAGCTTAACATCACTTTGATAGTATTTGTAAAAGTTCCGATATTTGTAAATATTATCCAAAGTTTAAGCTTCGTATTTATATATAACTCGTTTCTAAAATGTTTTAGTT